TGACGCATTAGCCCACAGTGCCACACCAAGAGCTACCAAAGATGAACACTTACTATGAGCCAGGTATTAGTCTAATACATTGTTTTAACATTTGAAATACCATATTTGTTTACATACATGCACCTTCTATATTTATTTGCCAACTGTAACAAGTAAAAAACAAAACAAAACAAAAATTGGCATACTTACACTTATGAAAATACCTCCCCAGGGGAGGGAGTGGTTGGCAAACAAACATAGAAGGTAGATGTTATATGTGTAAAAATGTGATAAATTTAAGTGCAAAAGTTTTACACCCTGATGTTTGCAGAAATTATATTCCATGGTGTGTGAACTATATGTCTGACACTGGGCTAGACCCTTCACAGTATAATCACCCGACAAACCAAATCCAAACCAAACAGCAACTCCACACAGGGTGCAGAGAACATACATCTTTATAAAGGCAGACAGACACCCTCACCTTTCTCAGAAGCAGCAGCTGGGGTGTTTGAACCTTGGACCTTCTGGTTAGCAGCCCAGTACCTAATCCACACCACCAGCAGGACTAAACTGTAAGGAGAGGCCATGCCTGTCCAGTTCATTGTTGTAATTCCAGGGCCTATAACACACACACTACATATGAACAGTCTTTGTTAAATAGATGAGTGGGTGGGAGGATGGATGGATGTGATGGATTGATGGATGGATGTGATGTATGTATGTATGTATGGATGGATGGATGTGATGGATGGATGGATGGATGGATGGATGGATGGATGGATGGATGGATGGATGGATGGAGAGTTCAGCATCCACATACTCTAAGGAGTGTGAGGAACTAAGCAGTCTCACCTCCAACCAAGCTCTTATCTCTTCTTCTCAGTGTTTAACTCAGGGATTGAAGACAAAAGGCCTAGAAGGCCCTTCGATTGCCTACACTAAGGCTACTACTTGAGGATAGTGACCTGTGTTGGGGTAAATGGCCTCCTATAGTTTTCATGAAGGCAGGGAAAATTCTTAGAAGGAAGGGACTATTATTGTCATTTTAGCTTCTGCCAGGTCCCAAGGCAAAATTTCAAAGGACACAAAGCACATCTTTTCCAACCTCTCTCTTCCCTTTCTAAATACGACTTCTATACACCATGCGTCCAAACACAAAAGTCTTGCTTTCTCTCCCTCCACATTCCTTCATCCTAGGCCATCTCTCCAAATTCTCCACAAAGATTTTTTCCCATGAGTCTTGCTAATAGAAATCACACACCAAAGTGTAAATGGAGTTTAAATACTTTTGTGGTTCAAACCTGCCAGTCGCTCCTTGGAAACCCTATACAGAGTTGCTTTGAGTCTAAACCAATTTGATGGCACTTAATACAGGGCCGCTAAGGGTCAGAACCAACTTGACAATACTTAATAGCAACAACAACAATGTACTAATTCAGACTGTTTTAATAGATAAAATGTGTGAGGAACGTTATCTATACTGACAAACACTCAAGTAATCCATTCTGTACTAATTTTAGCAAGAGTGAAGTTTTCTTTATTCGATTTTGCAAAATCGGGTGCCCAGCCCCATAGACAAGGGCATGGCCTGCCACAAATGGTTTTTATACTTGTCTCCAAAAAACTCCTCCTCCAGTTCCAGTTCCCCATATACAATTCTATGGCATGTCCCATTTTCCCTCGCCCCCAGAGAAGCCAGAATGGTTTGCCCATTGTCTTAATGGCTGTATTCTTATTTAAATGTCTTAGTCTTAGAACAGCCAGGTTACTTATCCCTCTCTGTATGTGAATCAACAATCTGTTTGTCAGGCCTAGCAAGCTCATGAATTCCTGAAGATGAACCATGCCCACTTTTAGGAGAACCCTACCTTAGGTCCATTTCTGCCCCTAGTCCAGCCATGTGCTTTGCTAAGACTGTTAAGAAACTGGAACACCTTTACAACCCTGCCCATTCACCCCCACCACACTTGCAGTCACAGCAGTGTCAAACAGCATGAGAGGCCGTACAACAGCCTGGGGAGTCCAGTTCTGAGTACTAAGTGCACATTGCATATGCATATGGTAACGTACAGTCATGTCCACTTTAGCCCTGATGGCACAGTAGATCAACGCTCCAGATGCCTCAGGGGAGAAAGATGTGGCTATTGCTTCAGTAAAGGTTGTTGTTAATATTGTTAAGTGCTGTCAACTCAATTCTGAATCATAGTGCCCCTCTAAAGAGTTTCCAAGGAGCAAGCTGGTGGGTTTGAACTACTAATCTGGGGTTAGCAGTCCAATGCTTACCCTACAGCGCCATACCAGGACAGCCTTGGGAGCCCTATGTGCTATGAGTCAGAATTGTTGACAGCAGCAGCTTTTGTTGTTGTTTTCTTAATGTTTCTACCTAGGTAGAACTACAAACCGCACACCAAAATATCTAATGCTTGCATGCGAACATAACATTCTCCTAAGTCTCCAATTCTTCCATCTCCTCTCCCTCACTGGTATCAGATGGTCAGACAAGAAAGTGAGGGCCATTCAATATAACACCCAGAAAGTTCCCAACATTGCAAATGACTATCCAAAACTGGGAAGGCGCTCTGCCCAGGAGAATTCCAAAGGGCATGGACTTCTACTGCGCATTCTCATTATGACAAGACTAAGACCTCTGGAGACATTGTGATATGAATCACATCCTCAAAGAAAAAGTCCTTCCGCTGCTGGCAAAGAAATCCACTGCACCAGAAAACCAACTCTTAAATAACTTTAAATTCAAAATTAAGAGATGATTTGCATAGAAGCAACACAGATCCAAAAGGATCAACATGGTCAGGCATTATATCTTTGATGTCCAATTTCATGTGCATTCATTACATTTTAATTCCTATTTCCATGTGCATTTTTCATATAACAAGTATATGAAATACAGGTTAATAGGATTATCCTTTCTTATAATAAATTTTGTGAGCTCCAATGTTTTAGTCCCCAGTTGGAGAATCAGTGAAGGAGTTAACAAGAATGTTTCTGCTCCCAAGTAATCATTCATTTAGTGAGAGAAGGAGAATTAAATCTCTAGGAAAAGTAAATGGTCAGGGGGAGTAGTTAGTTTTACAGTCCAGAAACAAAGGAACCTAGGACCATCAAGGGAGAAGAGCACCAGCGGAATGTGGGACCCTGTCCAGAGATGGAGGCAGAGATGATGACATGGAGAGAGGGCACAGCTGAGGACTCTCAACTCATGGAAAGAGAAAGACTGGGTGCTGGCGGCCAGGAGGCAGGCTTGCAGACTGTGCCCTTCGTTTGTTTAAGTTATTATAGATTTCTGAGTGTTTTTGTGTAGACCCCCCCCCAAACAAACAAACAAACAAGGGAATGGAAGCAAATACTGTTGAAGGGTGATGCACAGAGGAAACTGTAATCATTGCAATGAAACTATGAGTGTAAAACCAATGTTCTCCCAGGTAAACTATCACTCAACTCACAATAAAAACTTCCAAAAAAAAAGTAAATGGAGAGTGTCTTCACTATTAAACAGTACAAGTATAAACTTTACTGGTACATAAGCCTATTGTTGTAAGGTATATGTACAAGTAAGGTTAACTGAAATGATACTTTACATGACAAGTACATGGTATCAGAATGCAAGTTTAATTTGTCATATAAAGTGCACCCCATATACACTCCCATATCACACTCTGCTCAAAGTCTATCCTCAGACATCTCACATCCTGAAATCTGCTTCTAATTTAATACTTGGGCCTGTATGCTCTGCGCTTGCAGACTCAGAAACCATATCTGTTCCTTCAGCCCACATCGTTCTCTGCCCATTTAACCCTGCTACATAGCATCTTTCTGAAGAATGGGCTCTCATGGCATACCTTTGCTCTCTGCCTCTCTTTCTGGCCATGGACTGAACTGTGCCCTGGCCGCCTGCCCCAGTGCTCTCAGCCCAAGCAGGCCTCCCTTCCTGGGATCTAATGCAGAGTGCCAAAAGGGTGCCCATCGCCTTTAAAGTGCTATCCCCAGGAACTCACCTTTAGGGTGTTAACAAGCATCCCCCTGTCTACACTAGGCATGTCTCTACCTCTAACTGCACAGAAAGACCTTGTTCTCTCCATTTTCCTGCTTTGGACAGAAGTAAGTAAAACACAGCTTAGGGCAAGATGCAAACAGATTCTCCTAACCTGTCCTCTTTGCACAGTCTTTATAAACCGATTTATAAGCTCAGGCAAGTTCTCTGAATTGCCTTTCTTGTTTGCAAGATAAAATATGACTACTACTTAAGCTCCTTATGCCTTGCTTTGTTCAAACTATTATCTGGTTTTACAATGCTTTCCCTTGACTATGAAGCCAGGTGAGCAACCCAAGATGACCACCAGACTTAGAGCACCATTTTCTTGTGAGGGTGCTCAGTTTACTCTCCTTGCCAGGCATAGGACTTTTGCCATCCTTCCTCCCTATGTCTTGACTTGTCAAGTTGAGGTGTACATTTTCCAGCGTACCTGACAGACTTTGAGGATTATCTGTGCTGCCTCCTCTCTATAAAAATCAGAAGCCTCTACCTGAACGGCTACAGAAGACTCACTAAGCCTGAGACAGAGGTCTTGTGTGCAATAAGGTTCTGGTACTTCACTATTCAGTCCCCAAGTCCACCTTCCTCAGGGTACAATCTCAGTAACTTTCCCCAGGAGGAGAATATCACTTTTCCTTATGTTCTGTCTTCTCCCAAATGTGAGTCCGCTCGGACTTTCCAGAAGCTACAATTAATTGTACCTATTTCATATCACTCTGGACAAATAAGCCAGACCTCTGACTCAGTACGGACCCGGATACACTCTGAGTGGCTCCATTGCCCTGGGCACTTTATTACATCTTTGTACACTTACTTGAGTGTCAGGAACTTTTCTCCAGCGGACTGGCTGGCATGTGTTTCCCTAAAGCTGTCCCTGAAGTGTTCATGTTAACGCTACTTTTCAAATGTGCAGCAAAGCTGAGAATGGACTTTATGGAGCAAAGAGCAACAGGGCCTGGGTCCCCAATTATTTCACTAAGGGTTTTCTCAAAAGGGAGAGATACGGAGAGGTGAAACTATTGTAGGTATCCATCATTCTCCTCAAACCCTGCAGACGCAAATACCATGTCAGAGAGCCAGGAGAAGCGCTGGGGGACCAATGCCCGGCAGGCAAGCACTTGTCAGTACTCAGCCCTAGTTTAGAGTTCACACCTGGTTGGATGTGGGCTCTTGTCTCTCCAAAACCTAAAGACACCAAGCTGGACTGGATAAAGCGCTAACAGAAAAAGAAAACAGAAGAGAAACCCAAACGCCCAAGCAGCCTTGACGCACAGCTACCACCTGTACTGACGGTCCAGCCTCGGCGGAAACGGCCGCTCGAGTCCCTCCCACCCCGCGCCGCGCACCGCCCGGGCGCCCCCTTACCTTGCGGGAGTACGGAGGCTTGCTCAGGTGGATGCCGTCGCGGACGAGCTTATCCCTGATCATGATCTTCAGCTTCAGTTTGGGGTAGCTCACCAGCTCCCTGCTGCGGGGGGCAGCCGTCTGGCTGCTGGGGTCTCCGCGAGGCCCCAGGGTGCGGCCGGCAGGGCCGCCGCACGGCTCCCCCCGGCGGCCGGTGGGGACAGCGGCGACGGGCGGCGGTGGCGACTGCGGCTCGAGCGTGAAGTAGAGGCCAGCGGCGGCGGCGTCCTGCTCTCGCAGCCGGCGGACAGCCTCCAGGATGCGGCGGCGGTGCGCGGGCGCCAACACTCCGATGGCGTCCAGGTCCGGGTCCCCGATCTGTTTGCACACCTCCAGGTCATCGTAGCCGTTATCCACGAAGGACTCGGCGTACTGCGGGAGCTGCAGCGCCTTCAGCCACTCGTAAACTATGTTGGTGCACATGGTACACTGGAGCCCCGCAGGCACGGAGGTACCACTTCCTGGAACTTTTAATCTTCTCCTCCACGGGGGGGAAGAGCAAAGTTTTCCTGGTAAAGCACAGGAGAGGGTTGGGGCCCGCCGACCCTCAGAGGACGAGTGGCAGGAAAGGTGGACCAGCGGCAAAGTGAGTGCCCACGCCGCCGGGAGCTCGCAGAACTGGCGCTGGGCGAGCCGCTCTCGCCGCCCCGGCTGCGCCGCTGCCGCCACGGGGAGGGGCACGAGAAGGGCGGAGGCGGGCGGGGCGCCGCACCCCTCGGACCCGCGCCGGTCAGCGCCGCGCGGCGACGCTCCTAAGTGTCCCCGGCCGGGGCGGGCCCGAGGCCGCGCGCAGCATCTCGGCTTTGGGCTCTGCTGTTAGCGGCGGCACGCGCGCTCTGCACCGGGGAGCAGTTCCTCCGCGCTCCGCCGCGGCCGCCTGAGAGCACGAGTCCCCGTTGTCCTCCCACTGGGGAGGGGTGTCTTCTAAGCTGCCGGCATCCACTGTTAGCGCGCTCTGCTTTCTCTAGATTCCGACTTCTCCAGCGCCCGGTGTTCACCTCGGTCCGCACTATCCCGACTCCCACGGGCCGCTCAAGAGCAGGTCTGAGCCGCTGGCCGGGCGGTCACGTTTGCCGGCTCCCTTGCCATCCTCTTGGCCTTTGCCGGGGAAGCCCGCGCCGCGAACGGGAAGACACTTACTGCTCGGCGTGGATTCCCTTCCCAAGCCCCTGGGTCTGTGAAAGTTTGCAGAGGGTTGTACTTTCTGCTTGGCCGACGCGTTCCGCCAGGTCCCCTCACCCTTGTCCCCACTGTTTTCTCTCTGGGATCCTCTCACCCAGCCTTCTGCCCAGGCGCCATGGGAGGTGGGGACAGGTTCTCTGGCTCTGCCCCCGGGGACAGTGTTTGTGTCCAGCCCTGGAGCCTGGAGAGTTTAAGCAGACCTTCTCCTCTCTGGCTCCGAGATGCAGCTCGCCTCCCACGGCACTTTCTAGGGAATGACTCCAGTTTTCCCCTGGAGCGTAAAGCGTGAGCCGCCGCCTGCGGGCGGGTCCCAGAGCCGCAGGTGGAATCAACCAAGGCTTGGAGCACTTTCCCTAAGCGTCTGGGTCCTTCCCCGGGCCAAATCACCTCTCAGAAGGCGATTCAACTGCGCAGCTGCCCTAGACCCTCTTCCTGAGGGGTTCCGAGGTGCCAACAGTCTGTCGTTGTTGTTGTTGTTATGTGCCGTGGAGTCAGTTCCGACTCATAGCGACCCTGTACAGCGTTTCCGAGGCTGTAAATCTTTACGGGAGCAGAAAGCTTCATCTTTCTCCTGCGGAACAGATGGTAGTTTCGAACTGCTGACCCTGAGGTTCACAGACCGATTCATAACCACTACACTCCCAGAGCTCCTCAAGAAGTGGACAATGTGAGATTTCGGAGTCAATTCTTGTCTGCAACACGTATGGCAATTTTAGGTATCCGGTTCGCTAAATGGATCAGCCCTGGACTGTGAACCACAAGGTGAACAGTTTAAACCCACCAGTCGCTCCTGGGAAACCCTATACATAGACACTGAGAATAGGAAGTGACTCGGTAGCACACAACAGCAACTTTCCCTAAATCAGAAGACTTTAACCTCTTTTGAGACATGTTCCCCTTAAATATTTAAATGATAACTTTGAGGACCTTTTGCAAGAAAAAAAAGTGCCTATGGTAAGTACACCCAAAATGTTCCCTACCACGTATCCCATGTTAAGAATATAAACCAAGAAAGACAGAAGATATGAATGTGAGGAAGATGAGTGTGACCGAACCCTGAGTCACTTGGGCTCCCCTTTCTGAGCCCAAATTAGACATCTGGAGCCCAACTGACTTGCAACTAGGAGCCTGGGGCTCTGGGATGCAGGATGCGCCCAATCCTCCCAGCCAGGGGCTAATTAGTGCCTCTCCCCACCAAAGCAGGCTCACAGTGCCCCCTTGCGACCACGAGTGTGAATTTTAAGAAGAAAAAAAAAACAATAGATTTTGACTCAAGAGTAGAACTGCCCCACAGGATTACATGCCCAATAAATTTTACCTCAGAGCCACTACGTTCAAAACTGCGGATTATCAGGCAACCGAGCTTTCGGTTAGCAGCGGAGTGCTTTAACCACTGTGCCACCTAAACTCAAGTCCCCCCAAACCCCTTTTATTCAGTCCTAAGAGAATAGTAGTGTAGTGGTTATGAATCAGGCTGCTAACCTCAAGGTCGGCAGTTCGAAACTACCAGCTGTTCCGTGGGAGAAAGATGAGGTGTTCTGCTCCGGTAAAGATTTACAGCCTCGTAAACCCTGTAAGGAGTCCTGATGTGGCGCTGTGGGTTATTGCGCCAGACTGCAGAGCCTTTTGAACTGCAAGGTCGGTGGTTCAAGCTCACCAGCTGCTCCTCGGAAACCCTATACAGGGTCGCTATGGGTCAGAACCGACTCGATGGCACGTAACAACAACAAAAAAAACCCTGTTCAGGGTCGCTATGAGTCGGAACCGACTTCAAAGCACACCAACACCACCACCACCACCAAGAGAATACGTGAACTCATTCGTGAATTGCCCCACTTTTGAAATACAGATATTCACATTTGTATTCCAATGCCCTACCTTAAGAACGTTTGATTTTTAGGAGGAAAAATTTCCAGCAGTCTGAATTACGTCACTTGTTGTTGTTGTTGTTGTTAAGTGTCCTTGAGTTGGCTCCAACTCACGACGACCCTGTATAGGGTTTCCAAGAAGCTGCTGGTGGATTTGAACCGCTGACTTTGCAATTCAAACTAACCTTGCAGTCTAGTGCATTATCCTGCAGTGCCACCAGGACTCCAATTATGCCACTAAACCCCCAAAATTCTCAGCATGTGTGTACTGTGAGCTGAACAAGAAATTCTAACAGAGACACTGGAGTTGGAGCTTATACAGAGACATCCCAGAAGAAAGTTCTAGTAATCTGCTTCCAAAATATCCGCCATTGAAAGCCCTAAGGATGCAGTTCTACCCTGACATACATGGGGTCACTGTAAATTGGGGACACGCTATAGCAAATGTCTGTACCTATGGCTGTGCATATGATGTTGTTAAGTGCGTTATTTCAGTTTCCACTCATAGACAACCCTTTATAGGGTTTCCCAGGAGCAGCTGGTGAAATTGAACCTCCAACATTGAGATTCAAATCCATCTTGCAGTCCAGCACATTAACCCACAGTACCACACCAGGACTGCTGACCTTGCAAGGTCAGCGGTTGGTATTCACCAGCCACTCGTTGGAAACCCCTATATAGGGTCCATATAAGTCAGAACAGACTTGATGCCACTAACACCAAGAACAAGAAGACGACTTTGCCCAAAACGTCACTATTCAAGGCAAAACAGGAATTCGAATTCAGGGGAAATAAGTCCAGCACCTGCTTTGTAGCCACTATCCTCCCACTATTTCCAGTGAGTGCTGCATATATAAACAGAGAAACTTAAAGCTAAGGAGGTGAGTAGTCAAGTCTAGTTTTGGTCTTTGTTATGTCTTCTCTCCAAAGCAGTATGAGAAGTCCAATAGTACTACTTAGTAGTTCTTTGCTTGCTTAGATGGAGCCTTTTCCCCGCTGGGTGCTTAAAGAAATTCACTTTGTCTCATTAATCCTCATGGAGACAGCAAGTATTTTTATTTCCATTTTATAATTAGGGAAACTGGTTTTGGAGAAGATGAATGACTTGCCCAAGGTCATGCAGTAAATCAGGGCAGAAACAAGAACAAACCTGCCCTGTCCAAGTGTGTCCCCAATAGGCAGCAGCGATTCTCCTTTATTTATGTGCAAAGTCCCCAGCCAATTAGGAAATAAAGTATCCTGGATTGTACTCTTAGAAAAGGAAACCATTTATAAATTAATCATTTTCTCATCAGTCATAAATAAAACCTGCTCATGGTGACCTCTAGCGGAAACCTGCAACTGGAGACTTTACTAGTCTGGACCACAGCGACATCATTTTCCAGATTCCACTTTTATGTTCTTGTCTCACGTGCTTGCTTATGTCTTTTCGGTTCCACTGCTTTCCTTAGCATATTGAACCTCTCAGTAGACTCAGTTCTAGCGGCCACTACACATTATCTCAAATGGAAAAGTTTTACAGCCTTCATGTGTCTTTGCCTCCTGTAAAGACACATTCTAAGTCCGAGGAGAAGCTAGTGAACTTGAACTGCCCACCTTGTATTCAAACGGACTTTGCAGACCAGCACATTAACTCACAGCTCTACACCAGGACTCCATTCATGGCTATAGCATTATAGAATTACAAAGGTCATTAGAGATCATCTCCAGCATTCTTAAATGATATGGAAAAAAACCAAGGGCCAGAGAGGTCAAGCTATTTGCCTAAGGTCACACAGACAGTTAATGACAAAAGTTGAATGAAAACCCAAATCTGCAGTTCCTTCATTAGCTCATTTTTGCTGTTAGTGCCTATTTCCTGTCAAAATAATTCATTCGATTACCAGATATTTATTAAGTAAGCACTTAAGAGCTAGTCATGAAGCAAAAAGTTTTTCTTCACTAATTGGAACTGGAAAGATTTTGGCATATTAACTATGCAGAAAATAAACTAATAGTCTTTTGTGTGGTATTTCATGAATTATGAAGATACCATAATTAAAAAGAAAAATTATTTTAAAGATTTCTTTTATCTTTAAGGTTAGCCAAACTTTATGAATCATAATATTAGTCAGAATTTTAAAATTATGTATTACATTGGGACAGAATTGTACTTTAAAAGCATGAGATAACGCGTAGTTGTTATGTTGCTAGGCACAACCGTAATTTACTCGGCACCCATGCTAGTTAATCCATGGCATGATATAGCAATTGTTGTTGTTGTTGAGTGCCATCAAGTCGATTCTGACCCATAGTGACCTTGTGTTGGGTTTCCAAGGAGCAGCTGGTGAGCTTGAACCGCCGACGTTGCAGTTCAAAGTGACTTGCAGTCCA